TTCCTTACTATCTGAGGACCCTCTACTAGACCTAGAAAGAAGACAGTTTTGAGAATCATTATATTTTGAAGACCCTGGAATTTAAACAAAAAAGAATGAAACAGAGGAATTTGGGGGGAAAAGTACTGCTTTAAGTGAAAGACTGATACAGGATTTTAGCAAAGGGATCTACAAAGTTGCTCAAATCCTTTAGAGTGGACTTGGTTCTCTAAACGGCTGTGCTGTCCTACAGTGTTCTTCAAAGAAAAAGATTATTTTGAAATCAGGTACTAAATGCAGGCTGCATGTGAGYTTTTCTTCAGCTGTCTTTACTAAAACTGACCTACATAAAAAGTTTTCCTTTCCCTCTGTAAATTGTAATATGCATGCTGGATTTTCTTCTAGAACACCTAATGTAGAATCAGGCCTTCTTTAATCATAATCTGTGTTCTGACTCCGGGAGTAAATTTTGGTTTTCTTTTTTTCTATTTTCTTTTTTTTTCTTTTCAGAAATTAGGTGTAGTTTTCTTCAGATTAGCTTCTGAGATTCCTCTCAGCAGTTTGAAACTGAAGTGCACTGTTCCCAAGTAGGGCTGTCTTCTGTATAAATGTRATAAAGGGGCTTCGGTTCTCTGAGTATTGTTAAGTTTCTGGGGATTTTTTTTGACTATGTGTGTCTTGTGAGGCTTTTCACCTTTAAATGAACAAAATTTTCTATTTTGTGCAAAAGTTGGGAAATTTGAAGCAAAAATTTGCTTCAAATGATGTTGTGTGAAGTATGATGCTGTGTATTATATTGGAGGCAACACAATTAGTAAGAAATCCTAGAACAGGTGGGAGGTTAAGTGATTTTAATTTGTTCATGCTATCTTCTACATGCTGATGAAGTAAATGGTTTTCTTATATGTTGCTGAGCATCGTGACTATGTGACTTAGATGTTTTCTTCTGTCATTGCTGTGTTGCTAATAATTGCAGGGCTTTTGTCCACCACTGTGTCATTTGTATCTTTTTGATGTACTGCTTATACTCACCAGTGTGCATAGTAATAAAAGAGAGGTGAATATTGTGAGTTTTCAGTCAAATACACAAGTGTTTTACAGACTATGTATTTATGGAATAAATTGTTATTCATTTGTAGTCGCACGTCATATCTAAAAGTTCAGCAATGTATTTGGCTATGTAAGTTTCCAGTTATGGAAAGGAACAAGATAAAGAGAGGAAGAGACATCAGAAGTCCTTTGGACACCTAAAATGCACCTTTTAGGGTAGCAGAGAAGTTTTGAAAACCTTTCCTTTTAAGCAGTGTGGTGTTTTCTTTGCATACAAGTGTTCTGTAGATACATCATGGATTTTTTGTGTAAATATAAAGGGAAATGTATGGCTTCCAAAAGCCTTTCACTTCAAGTAAGAATATTATTGATTGATGAATGCAATGGAACAAAGATACCAAGTAACAGACTGTGATACAAACCTAGTTTATGAGCTAAWATTCTGCTTAAAGTTTAGATTAAAAGCATCGGGCATCAAAAAAGATTGCAGGAAGAGGCCCTCTCTGCTTAGGTAATTTAGGTCTATACCACCSCATTCTTATGTCCCATGGACACCAGCTGTTTGCTGTACTGTCTTATTTTCACCTTGTAAGGAACTTCTTCCCAAACTGACATCTTCCCCTGGCACTGGGTTCTCCTCTTTGCTTTCCTTGAACTACATCCTTCATGTAGAAATTGAAAAATCCCTCATCTATATCAGTTAAATTCAGAATTGTTTTTCTAAATACACCTTAATGMTAGGTATTTGTATGTCTTGCCGTCATTTCAAGGCAAAATTTGATTAATGGAAAACACAGTTTTCTGCTGCTCAGTAGCCTGGACGGGTCATGCCTGAATGGACAGGCTGTCCCCTGATAAGGTTCAAATGTCTGTCACTTTTGAATTTTGTTCTCTCTGTATTCTTYTTTGTCTCTTTCCTTCATTTCAGTTTAGGTTGCTGACAATGGCTACATGCTGCTTCCAGCTGGAATTAGGAGATGAGCAACTTTGTTCAGAAATTATGCAATTTTGTTTCTGTTATGAAAGAGGGAGAAACTTAATGTAACTAGCCACCTAAGGGACCAGAAAATTACTTTCATAGGTAAAAATATGTAATCTCTTTCCTTAAAACCTGTTCTTCCTCTGCTACCRTGTAAGGGATCCATTTTAAGCCCKTAGCATTCTCTTGAGCTTATTAGCATCTCATAGAGTATTTTCATAGCATTCCCTTTGATTTTTCTGATCTTTCATTTTTTCTTTCAATAGATTTTGTCCACATCGTAAGCTTGATTCATAGTTTGGAGTTGAAAGGAGCTATTTGATCTGAATATTACAAATCAGTTGGTCTGTATTTTAGTATGCCTTAGCAGAGGCTGCTTGGAGTGCAACATTTGCCATTTGAGCCCATCTTGTGTTTGATGAGGCACATATAAAAGAGACATTCCAAATGAAATCTGAAAGGCATTTGAAGATGACAAGAGTTGAAAAGTCCATTTGCTCCCTGAGTAACTTGTTCTGAAGTAATGCATTTGTATAACGTGCCTTCTTTGAATTTAACTTTCAATTGGAGGGTTATACCAAGTCAGCTATCCCACAGAATTTTGGAGTTTATTATGTCTACTCATTTTCCAGCTCACAAAGGTTCCACTGAAGAAAGAACCTATCCTCTAAAAAGCTCTGAAGATAATCCTTGGTTACAGTGCTGTCTGCAGTCTTCTGTTGCATTATATGAGCTTAGTTTTAGATTCTTGTTTATTTTACCCAAGACTTAGAATGAAACTAGCATATAGGCATGTTACTTGTCCTTTCAGAGTGTGGATTGGATTAGAACTCTTTTGCTCTGCAGGAATTGCTCTTATTTGCCTCAAGTCATTAAAAAGCATCAGCAGGGCTGAGATCTGCATAGGCAACTCTTTTGAAATGCCTGCATTATTATTTCCTGGGCCTCCTAAATTAAACTRTTATGACTAACAGATGTTTTTCTAATATCCTCAGTTATGAATGGATTAGAAAGTATTCCATCATTATGGTAGCACAATTTTCCTTCTTTTTGCAAGTATTCTTCGCTTCTATTACTGTTTTCTAAATAACTATTTTTTGTTGTCTTTCATTTCACTCCTCATCTCTATACTTCCAAACGTCTGTCCCTTCYTTGCTCTCTTACTGTTTTTCAAATTTGTGCTGGTTTTGGCTGGGAAGGAAGTAATTGTAGTAGCTGTTTTGGGGCTGTGTTTTAGAGTCATGCTGGAAGCAGTGCTGATAGCCCACGGATGTTTTAATTGTTGCCTAGCAGAGCTTATAAAGTGTAAAGACCTTTTCTGTTTCAGACCCTACCTCACGAGTGAGGACTGGGCATGCACAAGGGGATAGATATCTGGGGACATGGGGATTGCTGTCAGAGGGATGTTCCACACCACAGAGCACTGTGCTCAGCAGTAAAGCTGGAGGAAGAAAAAGTGGGAGACGTACAGAGTGATGGTCTTGGCCTTCCCAAGTCAGCCTTTCCTAGTGATGAAACCCTGCTCTGCTGGAGATGGCTGAACATCTGCCTGCTCATGGGAAGCAGTGAATGAATTCCTTGATTTGCTTTGCTTTTGTGCATGGTTTTTGCTTTCCCTATTAAACAGTCTAAACCTCAAACCATGAATTTTCTCACTTTTACWCATCTGATTCTTGCCCTTATCCCACCAGAGAAGAGTGAGTGAACAGGTGTGTGGGACTTAGTTKCTGGCTGGGGTTAAACCACAGCAAAATTGTTTGAATTTTTATGAAGTTATGTAGTCCAAAATARGGTTAATTACCAGGCAAAATTGTCTGCTTTTTCTTTTGCAGTTGCTGTATATTTAATACTTTTTGTTACCTGAAAGTTTTTATTTAAAAACTCTCTKTTCATAATTTTCTGTTATGTTTTTTCTCCTTCTACTTAGTTATCCTCATAATTTTTTTCAGTCTTCGGAAAATAGGGTGTGTGCATGTATGCATTTATACATATTCATGCAGGCACCTGTGTGTATGTTTGTTTAAGAATTGCTCTCTGTTTGTCCATGGTGAGTTTAATTGAGCAGAGATCACCATTGCTTAGGCAACTTCTACTGCTTAGGYAATTTTTACTTCAGTGATTAAGCTTTGTTTATCAATCATAATCCATCAAATTGTTCCAGATGTTTCTGGCAGTAGTTTAATATCTTTATGTAAGCTTTCTTGTTTCCAAGTGCTAACAGGACCACTCCACAACTTTTGAATTATTCTTTTGGCAAAAAYTGTGTATTTAGAGATAGCTTTCTCTTCATAGAGCCAAAGCATTCCTTTATAAAGTATGCTGTATCCATGAAGAAACTAGATTGTGTGAAAACTGACTTTGTATAAAACCTGTATGAAGGTTCATTTGAATCTGTAAATGTCTGTTTCAAATTATACTATTTATTCATAACCGGTCCATGTAGAAAAGAAAATTCTTGCTTCCAGTAAACTGTATGGTTAAAAGTATAATGCTTGAAAATAGAAATGCACAGAAGTTCCTGAGCTTTTGTATGAGTGTGAAATATTTGTTTCTAACGCTGTTTCAGGCCTTTGTAAGTCTGTTTTACCCAGGGGATCAGGCACTACCAAACAGTTATATGGTTAGCTCCTTCATTTGGTGCACTTGGTGTGTGTAAATGTCTCAGACCAAAAGACTCTTTTTCTTTCCTTCCTTGCATTGTATTTCTGCACATCCATAGATGGCAAACTTCCACTGTTTTCTTTTCCTATGCAGTATAGAGAGTGAATCCAGGACTGAGGTCCCTAAAAGAAAATGCTATAAAAAATACAATTGTCATAATTTTTATTCCATTTTTTATTGCATACGGAGTTTTCTTGTATTGCTTGACAAATGGGATGTTTGTTCTGTWATTAGAAATTAACTGGTTGCATTACATGTCATGATTTTCATRAACAGTAATTGCATTCACCTGCAGCTTGTCTTACTTTTCTTCTTCCKTTTTTTTTTACAGCTTGTTCCCTTCCAGATCTTACAGAGCAGTTTGCACCTCCTGATGTTGCTTCACCGATTCTTATCAAGATAGTAGAGACAATTGAAAAGAAAGGTAGGCTAAAGAATGAATACAAAGGATTTTTGCTGCTTGTGTGAACCAAGAATGCAGAATCAGATCCAGAGCTGGTATGGCCACTTTCTAGAKCTGATAATGCATCACATTACGTACCATCCAAAATAATCTTAAGGTTTGTTGCCCTGGTTTCTACTCATTAGAGGCTATTTGGACTATAGGAGCAAAACCRAGCTTAACTCAAATGGCATTTAATGACTAATTTAAGTATTATTAAAAGGTAAGGTAGAAGGGTTTGGTATTGTTTTGGTTTTTTCTAACCAGTAAGCACCTTAAGTTGGTTATGGAAACTCGCATAGCACTGAGTTGGATATRCAGCTATACTGAGATAAAAAAAATCTTTTGCCCCAAAGCAGGGAAAAAAAAGAAAAGAATAAAATACTGAAAGTTTGTAAGAACTGATTTTATTCTTTAGGAGCCAATTCTTTATTGCTACTCTGTAGTTAGTCAGCCAGTGTTGCTTTTATGTTTTTTCCCCTCTCCTGCTTTCCTGTGTTGATGTCTCTCCATCCTTTTGAGGCTTTTCCCTTTCTTAGTATCTTCACAGTATACTATGTCATACTTCGTTTGCCCTATATCTGTTTTGCTCTGATGTTGCCTTCTGAGTCCCTGTCCATTCAGGGGCCTTAAACTGGGTAACAAGCAAAAGTGGTATTCTGATCAGAATCAGGCTGCTGTCCTTGGGGACATGGGTTCTAACATATTCCTCTGACATTTTGAAAGCATGTAAGCCTTTCCTGAAAGAGAAGGAGCTTGCTAATATCAATGTGAAGAGCCAGTATTTAAAACCAGTTTGCATAAGGAACTGCTGTTTCCTGGAGACACTGCTGGTAGTTTAAATCGTCAGTGCTCTGCGTCCCTGCATATGGTCTCTTTCCTTGTGTCTTCTCTATCTTCACTATTAGAGGAAAGTTGTAAATGGTATCTTTCAGGTGAAAAGACTTTATTGATGTCTTTTCTAATAATTCAGGTGGATTATTATCACATTATGTGACATATACAGATATTTTCTCTGATGCCAGTGTGAATCTTTTCCTGGTCCTGGCCTTCTACAGTTGGCCAGTGGATATTTGTACAGAATACATGAGACTACTGGTATCTCTGATCTTGCTTGGCCAGCTCATTCTGCAGACACAGCAGTTTGATTGCACAGTGAGGTGTCTTATAGCCTTATAAAGCAATCACATTCTGTAGTATGATAGGTGGAAAAATGTTGTTAATTTATTAGAGAAAATGGAAATGTGTTCCATCAGGGCAGCAGTCACTGAAATACTAATATGTCCCATCAATTCTGTTTTGAAGGTCTGGAGTGCCCAACTTTGTATGGGGCACAAGGCTCAAGCAGTGCAGTGGAATTAAGACAAATTTTTGAATGTGGTAAGTACAGTTCTCTTCCTTAAAGCGCTAGACAGATTTTGTGGTCAGACCACTCCCACTCATGTGCTGATTCTCAGTAATATGCTATTAAAAAGACATATATAAGTTTAAAAGTTTCTAAGTTTTGCATTTCATATGAGAAGTATTCTTCACTTTTATACATTGGTTTTTCTCATGGCTCCAGTGCATTTTTTTTCTAAGAATAATTATTTTAATCTCTTCATGTCCTCTTGCTTGTTCAAAGACTGACACTCTAGCTGTACAGAGAAAAACAAGATGTTTTGTTCAGATTCAGCGTAAAGATATACTATTCCTGAAAGGCTTCACTTTACTGTTTTGTAAACAAATAGCCAGTTGTTTACATACAGTTCTGTGTGTGCATTTTTTTCGTTCAGTAGGTGGGGTGGAAATAGCAGCCCATTATCTGTCTACCTGCTACAGAGTGAGACTGAAGTGAAAGAGACAATTGAATTAATATTGTAGGCTGAGTTCTCAGTAAAATGCAGCTACAGCGCTACATACCCATTCAAGTTTCCTGAAATAGGTTTCCTCTTCTTTTTTGGTGTGTGTAATTTCTACTTCAGGCCAGAATATACCGGCACAGCAGTGTTGTTTCAGTGTGAGAGTAGGCGGAGAGTTTGACCATGACTTGGCAAGCTGGGGTGCAGTGTGTGGCGTGAGCCTTCACTTGCCTTAAATACAAGGGCGAAAATGAAACTGGTTACATGCCTTGTTGCCGAAGGGACAAAGAAATCAGACTCACACAGTGAATTAGTGTCCTCATTTTTTATAATTGCAAACATTAACCAGTGAGTAAGAGATGATACTCTGAGATACTCTGAGATACTCTGTTCTTTCAAAACAAAAGAGCATTCTGTCCTATGCTGATTGTGGTAGGAGTGAAGACATGTATGTGTTCAAGCAGGGAGAGGAGGCATGTGGTGCTAACGGCCTCATGATAGCAGTCACATACTTAACACTGTATTTTTATTTTTCAGTCCAGATAAATCCAGATTTTTCATGTCACCAGAAAGATTGTATCTCTTCATTTTTCTGAATACTTTCTTAAGTCTCTAAACTGAGATATACTTTTATGAAAGGTTAATCTGTCTCTTGAGATCAAAAACTTGTGGTTTGCATGTATTCTTACTTAAAATGTAGTTAGGTTCAAGTAAAAAAAAAAGAGAACTTTACTGTTTAGTAAACTTTACTGTTTATCCTCCTTAAGATAGGATTAGGACCCTCCAGGACAGAGCTGGTGCAGTGAGTATCCTGGTACACAGATACAGTCTCATTTCCTCTGCCTGCTCTCTTTGAATTAGTAGAATGCTGGTTCAGAGGACAAAGTTGGCATTGATCTCAAAGTTGTGAAGTTGCATTGGTGTGGTTAAAATGCTCTCCATTTATTTATTAACTGTCTGTTAGCATCAACACAATGCCATCTAGCTCCAAAATCAAAGCTGGCTTACATCTGATCAATTCAGCTGATGGAAGATTTCAGATCTCTGTATGGTATTCACCCAGAGAGTTGCAGAGGAAGTATATTCTTACTCATGTATTTATTATAGTAGTTTGGGAGATACTTCAGAGAAATGGTCAACACTGAAGCATGATGTAACTTAGCTTATAAAAGAAAAAACTGCCAGTGACCAACAAAACTAATAAAAACTATTTTTTAACAATTTGTGGTTGGATTCTCTGACACATAATTGCTCTTGTAGAATTTATTCCCACACTGCAAGTTTTTTATGATCTGAGACATTCATTATGTCTTTTTTGTCATGCAAATTCTTTGGTGTCTGATAAGATTTGAGCTCACAGTGCTTGCTTTTCTTTGGGGAAAACTAGGAAGGTGGAGGAGCACTAAGTTTCTCACTGTCCCCTCTTGGCTGCCTTATTTCACAGTGTTTGTAGAGACACCAYATATCTCATTCCTCTACCTCCCTATCACCTTTATTTAAACTGGCCAAATGGATTCAGTAGTTATTTCACCAGGGGCCTGGCTAGATAGAATGTTGATCAGYATTAATGCCTCTAAATTCTTGTACCAAATATGGATCTTTTTATATACACTAAGGACTTTACTGTGCCAGAGTTTCATGTTATAGGATGAATCCTAATCTTTCTTTCACTGAGTAAGGATTTCTATATTTTCCGATTTTTATTTTCGGTTGTGATATGCTTACTCCAACACTAACAAGTAGTTCTGTGTGTTACGCTCTCAACCCTTATCCGAAGTCATAAACTATCCTGGAAGGGTATCAGGTTTTGCAAGATAAATCCCAACAGCTGCATAAAACAGCAAGCACACAGTTCTGCACGTGTATATTTGTTTCGACTTACTTACATAAATATTTACAGACTTGGATCTCCAAGATGTTAATCAAACTTAAAGCCATAATAGAACTAGCTCCCTGTAGAGAAGCTGCATTTGACCAAACCTCTGATTAGTTCTTACTTCTTACACAAAATATTTACACATAAAACAGAGACCTGTTAAAAATATTCTGATGTTCCCTGACATTGACAAGATGCATCAAGTCACTACCATTACTCTGAGTTCAGCCCTGAGCTGTGTGTGACAGAAGGCCACACACAGCTATGGAAACCATTTGGTTCATCAGGTGCCAAAGGACTGGGCATGGTGTTCAACTCTGTGTGTTCTTCATCTCAAAGATGTTTCTTGGTGTCTTACGTTCTTTCTTATGAATTGTTCCCCATAAACCAGATACAAGTTAGCAATTTTGGCATATTATGAGCTTGTGTCTTTTTTCCAGTTTCTAAACTCTAAAAAACATGTTGCTCTTTCCTTTTAGATGCCTCTTCATTAGATTTAGAGACATTCGATATTCATACTTTATCAGATGCTCTGAAGAGGTATATCCTGGACCTGCCAAATCCCATCATTCCAGCAGCTGTTTACAGTGACATGATTTCTGTAGCTCAAGGTATGATTATCACATTATTTCAAATGTCAGACAAAAAAACTTGTATTAGAATTCTGAATATCTGCTGATCCAGCTGTCACCCACAGAACAGCAAAGATTCTGCACAACCTGGCAGTATCTCAGAAGCCATAAATATACCTTTACCACTTTTGATTAAACCTGTTTCAGTTCAGATCTAGACACTGTTCTACTTATTTAGGTAAGCGTGATGGAAAATACAAGGGATAACACAGTTCTTTTCATTTTAGTAACCAGAAATGCTATAGAAGAACTGGGGGAAAAACCAAGGACTTAACTGTATACAGAAAGCTAATTTTTAACTTTTTATCAGTGCTGACAAAGTAAATTTATTAGAGGTCATGGAATGCTGTGTTACATTGGGGTTGCAGATTATGAAGTGAGAAATACGTGCTTGTGAGATTCATCATCTACGGTGGTCATTTCAAACAAGTACAGCTTATAAGCTTTCAGTACATGGKCCAAGTATTCTGTTATATATCTCAGGACAGGATATTGTTACTGGTAACCTTCAAAGTTAGAACAGCACCTGTGAGACTTATCTCGTGCATCTCAGAATTACCCAATCATGTGTGACACTAAACACAAGACAGACTTCTACCAGTACACTCTGAACACATTGTGGTTTTTACCAAAATGCGTATCTGTTTCCATTTGACTTTTAAATACTTGTTCTTTGCTCTTCCCTGAGCATTTCACTTCTTTTAAAAGCAGAAAGAAATCTTACGGCTCTAAAGAAGGACAGAATTATTTTTTCCTGTAAAATTGATGCTTCTAAAGGAGTCACATATAGTTTCATTTTACTTGAATGTTCCTGTGCTGATTTCAAGAACCGTCTGTTTTATCTGTTTGCTTGCAGAAGTGCAGAGCTCAGAGGAATATGCTCAGTTACTGAAGAAACTGATCAGATCTCCAAATATACCTCCCCAGTATTGGCTCACACTCCAGTATTTGCTCAAACATTTCCTCAGAGTTTGTCAAGCCTCCAGCAAAAATCTCTTGAATGCAAGGTCTCTGGCTGAAATTTTCAGCCCTCTGCTTTTCAAATTCCAGATAGCAAGGTATGTGGGTCATCTTACCATATATTGCACTGTAAATATGAATTAGTTATACAAAGTAAGATTAATTAAGTAATTTTTACTTTATTTCTGATGTGAGGGCATTGCAGTAAATTTTTCCAATATTTAAAAAATAATTTTCAAGTAAACTTTTGCGTTTCTCCTAGTTCTTACTGCCTAACACATCTCTTGCAGCTCTGATAATACAGAACACCACATAAAAATCCTAGAGGTTTTGATCACAAGTGAATGGAATGAGAGACAGCCTGTACCAGGTAAAAAATATCTTTAATTTAAAAAGTCATATACCATTGTTTTCTTAAATGTTAAAATTCAGCTTAAGGACAGTAAATGGTTGGGTTTTTTCCTTTTAAATCTAACTTGGTGCAATGCAAAAGTGCATAATCACAGAGCTAAGTAGAAGTTGTTCAYATGTTTCATAGTGGTGTGCATGCAATGTTCGTTTTATAAGAAATAGTATTTTTCTTTAAAATCGCTTTAGTGCCAGTAGTTTGTACAGCCTTAGGACTTTAATTCTCTTTCAGAAACAACATAAGGAATATGTAAGTTTTTTAAGACCTGTAAACTAAAAGAATGCATATCACACAGTGGTGGTGGTGGGAGTTAATTCTTGAGGTTTTGTTGAACTCTCAGTTTCGTCCCAGGCAACTTTTCTTGGATTTGCTATACCCTGTGGAGAAATTATTTACCTATACTCTTTATTTTATATTATTTTATAATATATATATTATTATTTATGTGTGTTTATTAATCCAGATACTCAAAAGCTTTAATTACTGATTTCAATAAATATTGTGAAAAATATTAAGAGCCCTTCCAGGAAGGCTAGATCCCACCTGTATTGATTCTGTAAGTTAGTGTCTAATTAAGTCAACAAATAGTAAAGCCCAGCTCTAATTTATGCAAAATTCCTGGATTTAGATCAAGTATTTGGTAGAAGCGAGGCAGAGTTGTTAACTGTGTGCAAAGGAAATTATTAATGCAGGGGCCTTTACATGTTAGCTGAAGGCAATTCCTTGCACAGCTTATTAACAGAGAATATCCTAACAAAAGAAAGGGTGAGCAGAACATTGGACAGCCTGTACCTTTCCTACCTCTCTAGTCAAAGCACAAAATAAAGTTCATGGCAGTAGCATTTGTTGCTTAAGATTTGAAGAGCTAGAACATGGCAGCAGAAAAGTACTTTATTTGCTGTATTTCAGGGACGCACATTGTGTAATCCTCTTCATTGGCTAGTGAAGGTTAGTTTAAAATGGCTAAATTTTTTGTTCCTAATTCTCTGCTTGAAGGCTTTTCTAATTTTGCCAGTTCTGTTAGTTAGGAAACTTTCCCTAACACCTTGTGTTCATCTGTTTTCAGCTTGATCTGTGGTTTTGTTCAATTTCATTAAAGTAGTTAAGCAGGCATTTCCAGAACCACTGTGTATTTTTCTTCCTAATGCTTTGTAATGACTAGGAGAGTCCAAACTTAGAGTATTTGTCCTATTTTAGTAAGAATCAGCAAATACGTRCTAATAGTTAAAGAATTATTATCTTTGTCACATGCAAAAAGCCTTAAAAATCAAAATTCATTCTAATAATCTAATGCTAAAAGCGTTTTTTAGAGTTACACTTTTTCAAATGCTTTGGAGTATGTAAACATATACGTATAGARGCCTTGGTTGGGAGATTACAAAGGTAGGGTCAACAGTTTCTTCAGTTTCAAAGTGAGAATTTTTTAAGTTGAATTTAAGAGATCGCTTGGTTGCACATCTGCCTGAATTGCTTCATGTGAGGAAGGTATAAAAGTGAAAGGTGTTGATGTTAGAACTAATGCTGACAAGGAATCTAGTAATTTTGAGAGTGTCATTAGGGTTGCTTGAGGAAAAGCCATTGTATCCATCCAATTTATATGCTTTGACACTACATTAGTAATTATAATTGATTATCTGGTTTTAATCTTAGTTGTGCATTAATTAATATATCATGATGCAGTAGTTTGCTTTGACAGTCCTATTATGATTTTCCATGTGATCTGTTACAAGAATAGAACTCCTTCCCATTGCATTTGAAAGTCCATCATGTCTAGGGGAATATTTTTTTAGTAGAACATTTGCACATGTACTAGTACGCCAAAAAAACCCTTCAGATACAAATTTTCAGGCTTCGTAGTGTCTGGTTAGCTGGCTCTGCCCTTAGGTCTGTAAAGAGTTTGAGTAATTTCCAAAAGTTKAAACTTAATAGAATGTTCTGCAAGTTTGCCGGATTAGGACATGAGTCCATTTTCCTCATCAATATAGGTCAGTGACCTGAACATCTGAAGTGGTCTGTTTTTACAGTTCTCTCAGATGTGTTTTTCTGAATTGTCATTTTTATTGCATGTAATGGTTTGATTTTCCATAAGGACTGGTTAGATACATTGTCATAAAAAGAAGATTCCAATAAAATATACCTTATTTGTCTGTAAGTGTTTTGAGCATTACAGTCTTTAATAGAATTTTACAAGTGGAGAATTTGAGAGGTTTCAAGCAGAAAGAATTTTACTTGTTGAAAATAACATGATGACAACTAAGTGGTAACAGGGAAGCCAGTGCTACAGGTTCCTTCTCTTTTTCACAGGCTTCCTCCCTTCTTAATTCTTTTTGTTAAGATGAGAACAGTCTATCCAAAGGAGGCTGTGCATGAAGTTCTAGTGGTGTCTTACCCAGAATATAAATACATTAAATGTAGTGTTAGAGATAACCAATCTGAATAGCAAGTAGATCTTTGCACAGCTGTGGTGTTTTTTCTTACCACATCACCCACTGTTTCTTACCTGAAAACAATAGAAAGTAAGCAAGTAGACCTTACATCTTCCTGTATTTTAAAATTTGTATCTTAAATAACGTATCTTCAGTTGGACATCTTTTAGCTAGAGTGATGCTTTTTGGATGCCGTTAGACAAAAAGAAGAGTTACTTCTAGAGCATTACTTGATTTACCCATAGAACAGTTAGATTGGTGGTTTTTGTCTGTCATGGTGTTTATCAGCAGGCTACAGATTCTAGTTTGTGGATTAAAATAGTGCTTGGTCCTRCATGAAAGTACTAAAGTTAACAATATCTATTCACAGAATTATAGATTCTTATGTAGTAAATGAAGACAAAGAAATGTTGCAGGAGAAATAAGGCTGGAAAAAATTAGATCTGTCTTCTGATTCTTGTCTCGTTTTTCAAGTTCATCAGTAGGAGAGCCAAAAGATGGCGGTGGGCAATATAGGTGATTTTGCATCCTGTCTGAACATCTCCAGCTTGATGAACAGTTGATGAACATTCAGAAACAAAGTACAAATGTGCTATTCAAAATGGTACTACTAGAAGACAATACCTGTATTATAATAATTATACAGATTATAATAAATAACTCTGTTTATGTCTCAGTATCACATATCATACAGACTTGTGAAGGTAGATACTGGAAAATMGGCTATATTAGGCTATATTTATAGGTATAGAAGACTGGGGTGGTTTTTTCAGTTAATTGTCAGGGATCTTAAAGGCTCCTGGTTTTTCTGTCTGGAGGCGGCCTGCCCTGGATGCAGATCTCAAAACTGCCTGTGGGGCAGTAGCTGCTCTGGGAAACAGCGTCAGTTTAGCACGCATAGCTGCGAAGGCAAGTCATACAGAGGAAGTTCTGATTTTGCCTGGGGAGTTTAGGGAGATACGGGTCCTTTCTCAGGATGGGGCAGTACTGAGGAATGTGGAAGGGCTTTGGTGTGTGATGTTTTTCCTAAAGGTCTGTCTTAGGTATGCCAAGAGGAAGTGGCATGTGGCAAGAGAGCAAGGGGAGATGGAGAGCTGGTAGCAYGGCTGGTGAAGAGCAGAAAAAGTGCTATAGGAAAAGCTGCCTTGTGTCAATGAATCAAAGCCTCTAATAGTCTGTGCACTAACTAGTGCTATGTCTGGGCTGTCTGTGTCCGTTTATCCCTGTTTGCCAGGCTTGTACATAACATTGTAAATAACAGCTCAGACCCTGAAATACTGCAGCCTAAAAAAAAGGTTTTATTGCTCAGATAGGAATGAGTGAGGTAATAAGACTGCCTTACATGTACCTGCTCTCTTGTTGGGGATGAGGTGAAAGTCATGGGTGAAGACATTTGGCTTTTGATTACACAAAATATTAGCAGAAGTGGTGGCGTAACAGCCAGAGTCAGGCAATGTAAAGGCTGATCCAGTTCCTCCTGGAATTTGCCTCAGAGATTGCCTGGGCTGCTTCAGGCATCAGCCTGGGACCACAGTCCTGTCGGTAGTGTCCTGGGGACATTAAAAAATGTGTAGGAATGCTGTCCGTTGTCAGAACTTTGCGGCGTTATGTTCACACTCTTGGCTGGAGTGCCGGCAGCGCCCAGCGTGGCTGCGAGTCCCAGGGACAGTGTGCCCACGGCAGGAGGGATTGTGTGCATCCGTGTCTCACCCAGCAGAGGGCTCCCCTTCTAAGCTAATAAAAGTCAGGCTTTGCGGCTGACCTAACGGAAATCAATGCTTGGCTAACCCTTGTACCATGGAACGCTTTAGCCTTGCTTTAAGTTTTGAAACAAACCTGTGCCCGATGTTTCTCAATACCTAATTGCAAGGATTTGGTAAAAGAGAAACTATGTACAACGTTATTAGCGTATTTTATAGATTGATATATCCATGGGTAGGTATTTATATGTAAGTGTGTAAGCATGCAAGCCTGTCAGACCTGATCCCTTTTTCCCTATTTCAGATATCATTTTTAGTTAAAATGCTATGTTAATAGAAGAATGCCATGAGTGTGACTGCAAGTGATAGTAGGCTGCAGGTTAAATGGGCAGCACTCAGGGTTTTGAAATTTAAATAAAAAATTAAGACAGGGCAATATTTGAAAATACAGGTGTGTGCATGCTGATATCTTGTTTTGACAAGACACTTGATTCTCTCCTGCAGGATAATGAGGAACTCATTATCTCTCTGTGGATACTAGTGATTTTTAAATGGATAAAAAAAATTCAGTGAATCAGGTTTGGGTCGTCTTTTCTCCTTTGATTATCTGAATCTGTATTGTGGCCCTCTAAACCAAGAAATGTTTTCAATCCCTTCTGTAATTTTAACAGTAAAGAAATATATCAACTACAATCTAAAGCTGGATTAGTTCAGAAACACAGTTTTCCATCTCCACTTGAAGTAGTCTGTACCTTTATGACTCTACTACATTAAATTATRTTTAGAACTGACAATTGTTGACGTAGACAGAGGCTCAAACTAGGGAAGAAAGCAGTTTTTATAGCTGAAGCTAATCAATCAACTGCAATTATGCAAAACATAAAAAATATACTGCTGATATTTGGGATTTCATTATTAGGTGCAAGTGGTGTTTCATAGCATAGGAGGATTTTGGTATGCAAAATATTAAGGAGGCAAAAGCTTTTTGAYACTGTTTGGCTGCCTTAAGAAGCAACAAGCAGATCTCAAAGAAATTCTCTGTTTTTGTTAGAAATTCTCACTGTTTACTGGAAGTGAGGGGAAAACATTAATCTCTTTCTCTCCTCTTAATTCTTCTTTCTCTGCTTCTCCTTTTACTTTGAATTTATTTCCTTGAGGACGTTTAGCTGGCAAAGAAGGTAACCTCTGTTGGCAGAGGGGAGCGGACTCCTCAGTTGCTGCTCTGTTCCTTTAGCAGGTTTGATCTCCACCAAAAGCTAAGGCAAGGAAAATAAATTTAACCTAAGCTTTTCCCTCTTTGTACAGTTCCTTTTCCCACCTGCCTGCCCRAGAAATGAACAATCCTGATATGTTGGAAACCATCATGGATACAGACATGTGTTCTTTCTAATATTTTTAGTTTATAGGAAATTGATAAAAAGCCCCGCAGCCTCAGACCTTGGGTCTGAGGGTCTTGGATCAGCACCTGTGTTTGTGATCCAGCATGAGTGTGTAGGAGGTGATGCTGTGCAGGCTATTTTGCTTGCACAGGGCTTCTTCAAGAGATATAGCTCTTTTCAAGGAAAACTTTTATTCTATTTTTTTTTCTGCAGTTAGCCACTTCCTGCATTTGGCTGGTTTTGGTGCTTTTCTCGTCTTCAATATTGCATGCAGCAGCCAGTGATAGGGTCTATGTTAAGGCCTCTTACAATGGTCTTCTCATTTACTTAGCTAAAATGAGAAAGTTAGCCCTGCACTGGCCACTTGTTAGCTGATGACAACTTTTACTTTGAATCTGGCTCCCCCTCCCCCACCTGAAATCCCTGGCTCAGCAAATATTTGAACCTACCCAAGTTAATCATGAAACTGAGATCTTTATCTGAGAGAGACGTGCAAGCTACTGAGGGTGGTGGTTTCTTTTTTTTTTTTTTTTTCACAGTACTGAAGTCAGGTTCACTTTTTAATGATGAACCAGAGTAAGTGGATACCTTCTGCACAGCACAGAGGTTTAAGCAGTTGAGAGCGAAGGCTTGGATTTTCTCACTGCAAGTTAAGGATCTTTCAGGGTTTTTTTATGGAACACTGGTTGGAAAGCAGAGCAATCTCTGTTTTTTCATTGCTTCAGAGAAGTTTCCTAGTAAATGAAGGCTTTAAGGTTTATTTTTGAGTAAGATTTTTGTAAGAGGAAACCAATATGCGATTGTGTTTTCATCTATATTACAAGAGTGATGGTTTGCGATGCATAATTTACAAAGTAAGTGATTTTGAATTTCTGTGKTTTTTTCWTCTTCTTGTGCGAGTATTTTACTGTAACTGATTAMCAGATAGAGCTTTAAAAGTCTTAAGATACATGAATTCAAGTCAAGTACTTCAGTACCTCTCCAGGGTATATACTGAATGGGGAATAGCCTTTCTGCCTGCTGTCCTTTCTGTAGGCTAGGCTGGTCTGAGCTGGGCACTAACCTGATTATACAAGTTTGTTCAGTCCTAAATTTGGCCACCATTGAAACCCTAGGGAAGTAATTTTTCCTGGAAAGTCTTTATTCAATGGATAAAAAACTTAGGGATCCCACATGAGCCCTAAAAGCAGCAGTGCAGTTTTTGTAGGAAATATTTGTAACTTRATTTAAATAATTACCTTGGCAACTCAACTGTTTGGGTAGCAGGTGGGCTAAACTTATAACTTCAGTGTTCAGACTTCTGTCTAGGGTGATTTTAAGTATCCTATTTCATTTTGGAAATGGAAAGAATCTGCATGTCTACCTCAACAGGAAGGGGAGAGTCTACTTCAAAATGAAGCTTCTTAATGTATGAAGCACATCTTTTTGTGTATGTTGGTACTCCAGACATGCTCTTGTATGTTGCTTGTCTAAAAAGGGTAACCTGCTCAGGGGCACAGACAGTGGGGAGTGAGGGGGGAGGCAGGGGCTTAACATGTGCAAAATATTTGAAAAGCATATAAATTGTGTTAATTTCTTTAATGAGTATTTGTGAGATAGAGCACATTTCAGCATATTCCAGGATTTCTTATGATGTAGGCACAGATAGTTGCCACAGCCAGTCTTTGTTGTGGTTATTTTTAGTCTGTTTTTTTCTCCCCCCATAGATTATAGTGAGTATAAAGCATTCATATTGCTTTACATAGCATTCTGCTCTGGAATTAATAGCCTATTCTGTCCATGTTTCTTCCAAGAGGTCAGAGAGAGTTACAGTCAGTGATGGGGGGAGTTAAGATGGAATATTTATAAATGGTTGGAGGATGCTGATGACATAAAGTCAAGGGGCAAAGGAAACACTGGCAGTGGACTCTTGCTTTTAGAAACCATTAACTTGATAAATATATCAATGAGAGTAGGATGGAGAAACTGTGTGAAAAGGCAGACTAAATTTTGTATCCTCACAGCCTTTTATATGTTCTGCAAAACCCCTTTTCAAGATCTTGCTAAGTTTTGACTTTCTTGCATGGTTTGAGTGAATCTGCTGAATCTAAGATTACAATATTTGGGGTTCAGATTTCAATATTAATTATTTTAGATAGATAGATTTGAATTGACTTTTATTATATTAATGGTAAGAGATGATGACATCTGTGCAGTAAGAATATTTTGTATGATAACACAAACTCTGTCAGACCTGTGTGCCCATTAAAATAGGAGAAATCTGTAGAGTTTAAAAACATAATCCATTATTTCATTATATGGATATACACATCTCTCTGTGTGTTTTTAAAATGAGTGTGTAATGGATATACACACACAGAGTCATGCTTTTCCCTAATGCATCTCTAATGTGTGCAGTAGGTGTAGAATCCTTTTAAATCTTTTTGAATGGCAGAGCAGGCATTCAAGCAGGGGAATGCACCTGAGATGTGACTGACCTGCTTCTGAAGGGAGCTGCCCTGTGTGTGTGTGTGTGTGTGTGTGTGTGTGTGTGTGTGTGTGTGTGTGTAAGAGCTACGTGCTGCAGCATATCAGCCTTTTGTCATCCTGCCAGGACTGGACTGTACCATGCTGCAAAGTCAGGAAAATGAGCCAGGAACACAGGCAAGGGGAGCCTGCTTGCTGCTTTTGTGTGTAATACCAGCTTTATGTTGCAGTTCTGCTAAATGTAGGTTCTTCCCAAAACTGAAATTGTTTTAAGAATAATGTGGAACAAAATGAGGAAGCAGGAGTGGTTTGGTGACATTATTTTGACATGATTGGCTGAGGATTATGATGTAATAGGTTACAGTGCAGCCCCTTATAGGTTTTAAAATGAATTCCAAGACACCATTACAAAGACAGCCTGACTCTTTTCTTGTATCTGAGCTTACTCAGTGAAACTCATACAAATGTACAATACTGTTTGGAATATGGAAGAACTGGATATAGAATATCCTAAGACAGATATAAATTGTGGCACAGACTTGATGTTTTACATAGAAATGGATCCACCAGGTAAAACTGCAGTCTTATTATAGAGGACTTAATTAATTTTGGTCTTTACAATAGCTGCTGAAAAATTCTTACTGGATTTGTAGGATTTCTTTACTTTGTTATTGATACAAATGTTTTTTCTTTTTTTCATAAATAAGAATGAAATTGTGGATTAGTGCATGGTTGTAATAATTAGAATCTTAACATTCTGAAATACCTGTCTGCTTACTTAATTAAATTTTTTACTGAATTGACCTGTTTCTGTTTTGATTTTGTTATGTCAGATGTAGTTCTACTCCTACTATTATATAATTAAAAATTGTATTTTTTAAATTATTATTTATGCTCTCTCTRTTCTACACTTAGCCTAAAAAGAGATGCTGTAGTAACACTTATTTCCTGAAACAGTGATTACAAATCATTGGCTTGGGTTGTTTAAGGAAAAACATTTTTAAAATCTAGCAATATTATTAAATGCCTGTTATAGCATCACTTTTGCATATTATATGAAAATATTATGCTATCCTAATATTCCTTGAAACTTTAAAAACATTATCTTTTGAGCCGGGTCATAGTATACAGGACAGGAATGATGTACTTACTGGAGAACTGAAAGAGCTGAGTTGATTTTTAATCCTGATTCCAATGTAGGTCCCCCTCGTTACTAAGTCAGTGCTGCAGTATCTTCTCTGGCACCCACTGGTATACATATGCAGCTTTGACATTGAAAAGAGGGGGGTGTGTTTTTTAATCAGTCCTGGCATTTGGAACACAATTTATTCTGTAGAATACTAAGATTAACACAGGGGATATTTGGGTCACAGATGGGTTTCTGAAACTGTTGGGTTCGGGTTTTTTTTTTTTGGTTTTTTGCAAATCATTGCACAGAATGCTGAGGATCACATTCTTCAAATCCTCTTCTGAGGATACTTCTTCAAATATACTGTATTGCTATGGGTTTGCATTTTTTATTACTCGGCTTGTAGAGAAGAAGGCAGCAAAATTATTCTGAGATCACTACATAGGAGGCTAAAAATAATTTGGCATGTTTTATTACTTGTATTCACCTGAAGATAGTGAAAGAAGGTAAAAGCAAACTTCAGGGTTTTGTTTTTTTTTTTCTCAAATGCTTTCTTGGCAGGGGGAGGAGTAGGGTATGGTGTTATATTTTCCTTAAAATTTATTTTTGCAAGATGATACCATTTTTTGAAACAGTACAACTTCATTTTGAATTATTTTGTTTTCAGTGCAGCATCTTGATTTCTGTAATGTCTTTTACAGACTTACTGATGCACAACTCTATTTGGCAACCAGCTCTTTTTTTAATGCACTCATATAATTAAAAAATTCATGTAATAATGTGCAATTTCATGGAATATATGGTCATGTTTTCAGTGAGTTACAACTTTTCTTCCCCCCTTTCACTTACAGCCCTGCCTCCTAAGCCACCGAAACCTAATACTGTAACTAACAATAGCATGAATAACAACATGTCATTACAAGACGCTGAATGGTACTGGGGAGATATCTCAAGGTAAATCACCTCAAGATAGGTATTTCTTTCTTGTGTTTGACTTAATGCTATTCTTGCTTTGCTGTTCTGTGTATATGTATTGTGCTTTGAGTGTAGAAAAATCATGGTTCTAAGAGTAAATTCTGGATGTTTTCCACCAAAAATGTATTAAGAGTTCGTTTTATTACAAACATGACTTAAAAGTTGCTGGCAGTCAGTTAGAACGTAGTATGCAAAACGATTGCTCTATTATTTTAAGACAATTATATGAAATGCAAGCATGAAAAGGGAGCACTAAGAAAGAAATCATTTTCTTCTTGTCTTTCATTCAGAACCTCAACTGGAGGCACAATAGTTAGCCAGTCAGACTAACAAGTGCTATATATTAGCAACATTTTTGTCTGTACTATATATAGGTATATTAAACCAGCACTGGCTGCTCCAAGTGTACAGACTTGTATGAACAAGCAGAAAGACCTTTGCATGAATAATAATTTTATCCAGAGTGAGAGTACAGAGTATGCCATTTTTATATCCCAGTTGTTCTCTAGCAATTTTAAATAAGGTATTAAATATTTGTCTTAATATCAAGATATAGAAGGCTTCTAAAACTTATTTATTTCAAAGCATTTGAATTTTAATTTAGAGCACCATGAAAGAATAAATGTATGAGAACTAATTTAAATGATTGGTTACTTTTGGTTTCATTTTAGAGAAGAAGTAAATGAGAAACTTCGAGACACAGCTGATGGTACCTTTTTGGTACGAGATGCTTCAACCAAAATGCATGGGGACTACACACTTACACTGAGGTAAGACTAGTTATACTAGGTCTGTAATACTTGATAGTAAAATGCAATAACTGCACTAAATGTGGAATATTCTTTAGGAAATAATACTTGCAGCATGCCTAACTTTTCAATATACTTCATTTACAGGAAAGGAGGAAATAACAAATTAATCAAAATTTTTCATCGAGATGGAAAATACGGTTTTTCTGACCCATTAACTTTCAACTCTGTGGTCGAGCTAATAAACCACTACCGGAATGAATCTCTAGCCCAGTATAATCCTAAACTGGATGTAAAATTACTCTACCCAGTATCTAAGTATCAGCAGGTAATTTAGTTTATTTTCTTTGCCTTTCACTTAAGTATGGAGAAATTATTGCAGACTAGGAAGTAATTTATCATTAAGAACTTCAGCTCTGTTAATGTTTGAAAAAATTAGGTGGGTACAAAACCTGATATTTTTGTTTAAAACCAGCTCCACACTTTGCATGTATTTAAAACTTTAAATACTGCAGATACACTATTAAGAAATAAACAGCCTGAATAAATATCCCACTTAGTGCTGAAATATGTAGTTTTCAGTATAAAGCTAAATACTTGAAATAAAAAATTCCTTTTTGTCATTAATTTTTCATTTGCATATTATGCATTTAGTATATTATATCCHCATATTGGTGAAAGTGAAATCACATTTCCATGTAATTATCTAAGATATTTCAAGCAGTTTAATCCAGAAAATCTGTGCACTATAATTGTCTTCTTACCAAATACCTTTCTTTCTGCTCATCCTTCCAGGATCAAGTTGTAAAAGAGGATAGCATTGAAGCAGTGGGAAAGAAGTTACATGAATATAATACCCAGTTCCAAGAAAAAAGCAGAGAATATGACMGACTCTATGAAGACTACACAAGAACATCTCAGGTGAGCTTGATTTGAATCAAAGGGAGAGTGGAAAACTTTGAAGACTATTAATGTGAATTTATACTGTCATCTTCCCACTCCTCACTTCTACCACCACTGCCATTGTCCTGAAGTGGTTGCTCAGAATAGTGCAGTTACTTAGTCAGGTTTGAACAGACACCACCTGTAAACTAAGCAACCTGTGCCCGAGTTTGACAGCTGCATCCAAGTCAAGTACGTAACTATCTTGATTTGCCACAACTTCTGCGCACTGACCTCATCAAGCTGAGTTATGGTTTTCAAGACACATTTTTAGGAAAGCATTGCATTTTATTGTGAGTTTTTGAAGGGTCTGCAAGATAAAAAGACGTGTTGATGCAATGTGGGAATGAAAAGCTGCCTCTGTCCTTCTTTCAGCTTAATGAATTTTTGGCCTCTCTTTGGAGTGCAAGTGAATTAGTGCCCAGAACCAGTTTTTACAGACCCAAAATCCAGACTGCTTCTTAAAGGGTGCAGGAAATACGCCTAAAAATAATTGAAGAAAATTGGAAAATTGCTGGCAACTTGAACTAATGACTTAAGACTTTGCTTTCAACTAGGTATTTCAGGGCAGGAGAATAAACTAGATAACCTCCTGAGACCTGTCCAGGCCACCTTTATTGCAGAAAGCCAGGTGTGCCTCTGAGGACTTAAGCTGGTACAAAGGGCAAAGTGCGCTGCCATAAGGGTCTAAGCATCAATTTATTTACACAAAGCAAAGATTGTAACCGGGTTTTTTTCAGCAGTTCTACTTTCTTGATTAACCTCATCATGGAAAGCTTGTCATGGTAGCCTTTTGCATAGGCCCATTGTCTCTCTGCCATAAGACTCTGCAGATGGAATATGTTTTGCTAAAGGGATATGGAAAGGATATTCTTCTACAGTATACTGAAGTGCTTCTCTGATACAGGCCAATAAATCTTCCACTTTGTCTGATAACAACTGTAATAATAATTATTTTATTTTTAGGAAATTCAAATGAAAAGAACAGCCATTGAGGCATTTAATGAAACAATAAAAATATTTGAAGAGCAGTGCCAAACACAAGAAAGATACAGTAAGGAATACATTGAAAAATTTAAACGAGAAGGAAATGAAAAAGAAATACAAAGGTCAGTATTTGATTTTGCATATCAAATTGTATGATTTTTGAAAAAACAAACAGTGCCAAGTATACGTCTGCCTAAAACTGAAGCAACGTGACAAGTTTGTTTGTAAGCAAAGAAGCTTCCAATAGGGAAGATGTGAACTGGCAAAATGTATAACTACATCTAGAGAAATAATTTGTTCTCTTAAGTGTCTGTACCTCTAAATAGTAGATTATATAGTTATGAATAAGAGATCAGAGTGTAACTGACTACGCTGTTCTGTCTAGAATCATGCACAACTATGAAAAACTGAAGTCTCGGATAAGTGAAATTGTGGATAGCAGGCGCAGATTAGAAGAAGACTTAAAGAAGCAAGCAGCTGAATACAGAGAGATAGACAAGCGTATGAACAGCATTAAGCCAGACCTCATACAGCTGAGGAAGACAAGAGATCAGTACTTGATGTGAGTATCATGAATTAACAAATGTTCAGTTTGGTTTTTTAATTGTATCCAACTTTTCTGACTAAAAACTAATTTTATTTGCAATTATTGTCCAGGTGGCTGACTCAAAAAGGTGTTCGGCAAAAGAAGCTAAATGAATGGCTTGGAAATGAAAATGCAGAAGAGTAAGTATTGGAAGATTTAAATATTTCTGATGTTTCAAATCATCTGAATACAAAAGTGAGATAAAGCATATTTAAATCTTGGACGACACAAAGGAAATCTCAAGCCTAGGTCTGCAGTAACAATGCACACTGTTAAGACATGACAGCCTACATAATGCAAGTGTTAGAAAGGATGCTGTCTCACCCTCCACTCTTCTTTTTTCAGGGTAGTGCATAGTCAAGTTAGTATAGCAAAGCACTGAAATGTAACCCGTGTCTTTTTTCTTACCAGCAAAATTAAGTTCATAAGGTGTTAGTATCTTAGAGAGATGCCATATGTATGGATTAGTTGTTCAAAAGATCTCCTACGTGTAAGCAGGCTTTTTCCAAATTTCGTCTGTGGGGGTACCATGATGTTATCCAGTATAGTGGTACCCACATCATTATGTCACAATTGCTGCTGGAGATGATAAATTTGTATGTGCTGAGGAGTATCTTTCTGGTTTTGTGGTCTATTTTACTTCTCTGGAAAATGGCAGGATAGTATTCTGTCATTTCAAGCAGTTTAGTTTACTGTAGGTTCTGACAGGGCTTGGCTGATGAATATGTTTCATTTCATTCCTGGGAAAAAAAGCAAAATGTGCTTGGCTTGTGTAAACATAGACCAAATTTAAATATAAGCAAGACAAAAAAAAATCTGAAGTATAATAACAGTGGAAAATGAACAAACAGAAAAATCAAAATTGTCTCAGTAATTTTTATGTCAACATTTTCTGCCTATGTTAGTTTCTTGTGCATGCCTTTTATGCTGCCTGGTTGCCTGTACAATGAAAGCAGCAGACTGACAATTACTCTTTAGTGGATTTGCATTCTTGTCCACATTTATTTTAATTTGGCTTGGTTTATTGAGTCTGCTACTGTTACCCTGGAAATTGTGGTTATCGCTGTGGTAGAAGCAGGAGATAAAAATGACATAGACATTTTAAAACCATGTTGTTTTCTCAGTCTTAGCACAACTTAAAGATGATAAAATATATAGGCATCTGCTTCCAAGTGTTCCTATCACTTAAACAGTAGACAAAGAACAATGCTACTCTGTAGGTTTAGTGTAGCGTCAAAATAGCAGGTGAAACTGTTTGGAGAAAACCTTCATTTTCTCTCATGCTGACACTCCTTGCCAGCAAGGAGTGGTAACTGCTGAAAAATTAAACTTTTAGAATATGGCTGTTTTTCTAAAGTTGTGTTGCAGAAAAAGATAAACTAATATAAAAAGCAGGATGAAAACCAAGAAACATTTTCTCTAGATGCTGGTTGAAAACAGAGCCACTACTGAACCCATGTCAAAAGAGTGATGGGATAAGGGACCCATAGAGAATGTTGTCTGAAACAAAAGAACCATTTTCCTTTAGGAAAAATTGAATTTTGTGTAAGATTTTTGATTTCTGTGGACTTCTTTGAGGTTCTTTAAGAAAGACAGAACTGTGCATGAGTGAGAAGTCATCTTTTCTTAGACCGAGGAAAACTAAAAGGCCTATTACAGAGAGAATACTTGCATTAGCCATACACAGACTGGTAGCAAGCTGAGCAGGAGAGGCAGGGCCAGTCAGTGCAGGCTGCTGTGGGAGTGGGGAGCTCTGAAACTGCAGAATCCTGAAGTGGTGTCCACACAGCTGAGCCAGATGCTTGCTTTAATTTAGAGGGTTGTCTGTAATTCTGAATCAACATTATAGTTGGTGGCTGATTTAGTAGAGCAGGCCCCATATTGCTCTTCTCATAATCTGCTTGTAAAGAGAGAGAAAGAGAGAGGAAGCACTCTACCATTGTACCTTTCCACAAAGCCATCTTCCCTATAAATAATTAATTCTGTCTCCCTGTGCAACTGCTCAGATGCTCTCCAAGCAGCAGCTTGATTTTTGCGTGATTTTTCACTGCTGACCAAGTGTTCTGCTGGAACACTTGGAAATGAAGCTGACTCACAGGGTACTGATTTTGTTGGGCTTGCTATTTACCAAAACAATGAGCAATGGTAGAAGTACAGAAATGCTCACAGCATATTGTGAAAAACAAGACATCATCTTTTTATAGTCTTCCTAAGATTTACATTAGTGTTTTTCAAAGAAAAAAGAAACATAGCTTATATTTTACCAGTTTAAATCCCTAGTTTTACCAAGGAGGCATCCTGCTAACCACTGTAACATGGAGTGAAGACTACTTAATTAGTGGATTTTGTTCTGTGTTTCACAAACACATTTTTTCATTTTTGCAGCCAATACTCTATGGTAGAAGATGATGAGGACTTGCCCCATCATGATGAGAGAACATGGAATGTGGGAAATATCAACAGAAGCCAAGCTGAAAATCTGCTGCGGGGAAAGCGAGACGGAACATTCCTTGTTCGAGAGAGCAGCAAACAAGGCTGCTATGCCTGCTCTGTGGTGTATGTACCCTAATTTGTGAATGATGTAACCAGCATATGAGGGGCCTACCTTGAGCTGGGGACAGATAGACACTTGCATATGCACAATTGGACCTTTGGGCTTAGAAGCAGGTCAAGAAGTCCTCAGGTCGTTCTTATTGCTGCTCCATTTCCTACACAACTCCAACCTGTGACACTCCCACAGAGGATCCTCTCTTGGTAGGGAGACCAGAACATGTGTTCACTCCTTTCCATGCAGCTGCTAAGTCCTGCTTATCTTCCGCCTCCCTAAGCCAGCATGACATCATGAATTTGGACTAAACCTAGGTTTTTACCGTTATCCCACCATGGAAGAGATGAATTCTATGTACTGACTAGCATTTTTAAGATTTATTGCTGGAACCTTATTTTCTGTCTTAATTTTACTGTACTCACAAACTAAAAACTGGTTGTTTTTGTTTCTTTTAGGGTGGATGGTGAAGTAAAGCACTGTGTGATAAACAAAACACCTACTGGGTATGGATTTGCAGAGCCATATAACTTGTACAACTCGCTCAAAGAACTGGTGCTACATTACCAACACACGTCACTTGTGCAGCACAATGACTCTCTCAATGTCACACTAGCCTACCCAGTATATGCACAGCAGAGGCGATGAAGATCTTAATATTCTGGGTTGTTTGTGGTTTGTTTTTTTTTTTTAAGAAATGATTTGGCAACATTGAGGCCTCTGGAAAGAAAAGGCTTCTTTCAGCTTTACTGAAGAATTTGCAGTATCAAAGCTATCTGTCTTCAGATGGGACTAGAGATTTCCTTCACAACTGCAGTGGGAGAGATCACAGCGTTAAGCTGTGAATGTATGTTTGTAATCTGAAGTGCTTTTTTTTTTTTTTTTTTTTTAATTAAAAAAAGAAAAAAACAAGAGAAAAATCCAAACCTGATCTCCCTGCAGGGACATAGAGGCCTTTAAGCATGG